AAATCCCACATCTTGTCAATCTCAATGAAGATCCATTGATGTCAGAATGTTTAGTTTATCAAATTAAAAATGGTATAACACGTGTTGGCAAATCTGAAGCCAAAGCTCCGGCTGATATATGTTTGAGTGGTGAAAATATTATGGATGAACATTGTTACTTTGAAAATAAGGATGGAGTTGTAACACTGCATCCATGTACAGACAGTTTAACAATGGTAAATGGAATGCGTATAACCGCACCTGAAAAATTAAATTCGGGATTTCGTATCATTCTTGGAGACTTTCACGTGTTTCGATTTAATAATCCTGAAGAAGTTAGAAAAGAACGTGCTAAATCAAAGCAACTCAGTATTAGTATTGTTAATAACGAGGATGGATCAAAACCACCAGATTCATCCACATCCACTGCATCTCCTATGTCAGAAGTTGTTAAAGATTGGAATTATGCAAAACGGGAGACGGCTCTGAATTATTTAAATGATAATCCCACATTTATGGCTTTATCTGATGAAGATTTGCAAAAAATGATGGAAGACATTAAGAAAATACAAGAAGCTCGTAAAAAGATCAGACAGTAGAAACGAATACTTTGATGATGATACAGAATCAAGGACATTTGTAGTTCTTTGAGCTCAGTCACATTTCTTTTCTTCAGTCCTATCGTCAGGGATGACAAAAGTACCAAGAAATACCATACACTTCATATTCTTTACTTCTCAAAATAAAATACTTATATGATCTTAGTCTATATCAAAAGCTTGTCTCAATATTTGTACTAAATTTTAATATCAATGTTTTATTTAAGTTTTAGTGAAGGAGAGAGATTAGCTTTCTATTTATAAATTCAAACATCCAACGGCATTCACGGTGTTCATACCGTTTATGGCATGTTATTCATAAAAGGATTTTTGAATAATGTTTCGATTTCTCAATATTCTTGCTATTTGGTTTTTTATTTCAGATTAAATAATTTCGGTTTAAAAATTAACTTCGGCGGCCAACATCTATTACTTCATAGTTATTAAAAAAATGATATTACCAATAATGTTTCAAAAATTTGATGGGCTATATATATTATGCTCACTTAAAATCTCTTCAGTGTTTCATTTTTAATTATCAAAGATATGACTTGACTTTTTACCCACTTTCTTGCCATCTGAAAGTGACACACGCATTTTGTGTATTGCAATATGTAAAATGGAATTTAGTGTGACCTCTATCTATATATGTTATTAGTGGTCCTTTCGTAATTACATATTTTAAATTTTTCAAAATGAGTGGGGGGAATATAAAAGTAGTTGTCAGATGTCGTCCTTTAAATTCAAGAGGTAAGGAAATAAACTCTTATCATAAAACTGTTCTTTTGTTAATGGATTGACATGCTAGAATAAAAATTATCATTTAAAAGAATTTTCATCAAGTGTAATTATTATGATTAAAAATAATTTTTTTAATAGAAATTGCTCGAGGGGCAAAATGCCTCATCAGAATGGAGGGGAATCAAACTATTATTACCAGGCCTGATGGTACTGATCCAGCAAATGCAAAAAAAAGAGACGCTGGTGATGAGGTTAAAGCATTTACTTTTGATAAGTCTTACTGGTCTTTTGACAAAAGGGATCCAACTTATGCTACTCAATCAATGTTATATGATGATCTTGGGGAA